AGATGTGTATAAGAGACAACTAGTAACAGGATCTGGTAACTAGTAACAGGATCTGGCAACTAGTAACAGGATCTGGCAACTAATAACAGGATCTGGCAACTAATAACAGGATCTGTTAACTAATAACAGGATCTGGCAACTAGTAACAGGATCTGGCAACTAATAACAGGATCTGTTAACTAATAACAGGATCTGGCAACTAGTAACAGGATCTGGCAACTAGTAACAGGATCTGGCAACTAGTGACAGGATCTGGCAACTAACAACAGGATCTGGCAACTAATAACAGGATCTGGCAAGTAATAACAGGATCTGGCAACTAGTAACAGGATCTGGTAACTAGTAACAGGATCTCGTAACTAGTAACCAGGATCCGGTGACTATCAACCACTGGTTAATTGTGACCAGATCGTTGGATCACCAGCAAGAAGTGGACCATTAATAAATAATGACCAATATAAATAAGGACCAATAATAAATAATTAAATTGCTACCATTAATAAATAATGAATTGATGTTGAAACGACGTTACAATCAACGTTAATTCAAAGTCAAATAATTGGTAGGTCAAGTTATTCATTTATACTCACTTTGTTCTCCATGTTTTAGGCAACAACAAACTCAGTTCACCAGCGGGCAGACGAGAGGACGCGACACCGAATGGGTCAGGAACAGACTGAACTGCAGGCCACCGAGGCTCTACAAGAAAATTACAACTCGGGTCATAGGCCTAAAATCGGTTCATACTAGGCCTATGGCATGGATCGTTCATACAAAACGTTTGATAGCTCCACGTGTAATTTTGAAAAGGTAGAATTTTTGTGAAAAATTCTATACTAAAAAAAATTATTTCGTGCTCTATCGGTATCAATGAAGACTTATCTTCATACATTCAAACTTGAACTTTTAATACAAACTTTGTTCCACGTGCACGGTGGAACACGTCATTCAAACTTCGAACTTTGACAACCACGTGTACGTCGGAACACGTCATTCAAACTTGAACTTTGAGAACCACGTGTACGGTGGAATACGTCATTCAAACTTCGAACTTTGAGAACCACGTGCACGGTGGAACATGTCATTCAAACTTCGAACTTTGAGAACCACGTGTACGGAATACGTCATTCAAACTTCGAACTTTGAGAACCACGTGCACGGTGGAACATGTCATTCAAACTTCGAACTTTGAGAACCACGTGTACGGTGGAACACGTCATTCAAACTTCGAACTTTGAGAACCACGTGTACGGTGGAACACGTCATTCAAACTTCGAGTTAATTTTGGTTCAAGAGCTGCCTTTGAATTTTTCTGTGATGAAACATTAGATATCAGACGAATACTAAATCACTATCATTTCTTATTTTCGCAAAATTAATTGCTTCATTATAAATCACTATCATGGATGCTACAGCGGAGTAAGGACAAGATTACCTTAAACTCGTTATACTTTATTCAACATGCAACACTATTCTTTATTATTACAAATATTTCACATCTAATAATATCCAGCGTAACTAACCCTATGTATTTCAGATCTGGTTAGAAACGAGACATTTTCACACATTTTATTTACAATTTGATAAACTATTATCAGACACGACAAGAAATAAAGTTCAATTAATATTATTCACAGTTCCTACCCTAACGTCTGTGCTCTAAAGTTATTCAAGTAAAGGCGACCACGTGCGAGGATCTGGCCAGCCTGAAGGCGTGTGAATGTTAGCAGTCACAAAACTCTCGATTGTGATTTAGTATAGTATAGTATAGTATAGTATCTTCGGAATGAAATAAATAGGCCTGGATAGGCCTGTCGCCGATTCTTGTACTTTTCTTGACTAGACTGGCCATACGGACGGAAGATATCAGTTGTTCCGTAGTTCGTTGCAACCGTGTCTTCTCATGCTGTAAGCTTGCTGTTCATTGTTCTTGCAACGAGACGATAGTGATTTAACTCAACCTACCCTGCAAGTTCGATCTTAGCAATTATATTTCATTTTTCAAGTAGCCGCTATTCATGCATGCGAGATACTTTTATTACATTGACATCTAACCAACAGATATCATAATTGTTAATTAATGTGAAGATGAACTAACAAATTTAGATATATTCAGTACAACGTCACTCAAACATGGCACTTGGAGAACCACGCGGTAGAAGACGTAATTCAAGAGTATCTCAATATATTTATTTGTATTCAAGACAAGGTTTGTGGTTCATCGCATCAGAAATTGAGGCGTGGTCAAGGTAATTATTTATATTTAACAAGATACGAACTTTAGAGGAGAAATCGAAGCACGACAAAGATCGGTCTAGGTGTCGGAAAAATTTACGCCCGGACTGGCGGCCGGTCTCACGGCCAATCTCATAATTCAGTGACCAAGGAATATCTCCCAAACTAATGAACGTAGCTCGATGAAAATTGGTACACGTATTCATTAGGACCTAACGGTTATGTTTAGCTCGTGAAAATTTTTTCCATTTCACCTTCATTCGTGAGTTATAGACAGAGCTGGGCAGCGCTACTCTGAAATGTAGCGGCGCTACCGCTACATGCTTTAAATGTAGCGGGCGCTACCGCTACCGCTACACCCACTAGATTGTAGCGGGCGCTACCGCTACCGCTACACCCACTAGATTGTAGCGAGCGCTACCGCTACCGCTACAGTAAAATGTAGCGCCGCTACATTAGCCGCTACAATGGCCTAAATTATTGGAAATCTCTAAATATTTATTATTCTGCTATTGGGATTTACTCATAAACATTTAATGATAATAAAGGATTTTCAAAACATATCAATGCAACTTTATTGCAATTACCCTACTGAACTAGTACGGGTTAGATACAGTAAATAAAAATTAGTTATTTTTATGTTTTACCTTCCCTACATGGATGTGTACTTTAATCTACCAATCTAAAAAATTATCCACGTATACATATAAGAAATCAGTCCTTTATTTGTATATATATGTGAATTATTTTTGAGATTGGTAGATTAAAGTAGACATCCATGTTGGGAAGGTGAAACATAAAAATAACCGTGTAAAAATAACTGTAAGCAAACTGAAACATGAAAAAATATCTGTAAGTGGTAACAGGTAACAACTTAACAAGTAACAACTAACATGACACTAGTAACAGGCTGAGGTTGACAACATTACACCGAAATCTTTCGTACAGTTTTATTCTGTAATTTATATTATGTATGTATCAAGCTGGTTTTTAAATAATATTTAATACCATTAAGTAAAATCTAAAGGCCTTATCTATAAATGTAGCGGTAGCGCTGTAGCGGCAAAACCTCGTATCGGTACTTAAATATGTAGCGGGCGCTACCGCTACAATTGCTTAAATGCAGCGCCGCTACCGCTACTGAAAATGTAGCGGCCGCTATTAGCGGCCGTTACATGTAGCGCGCTACTGCCCACCTCTGCTAACGTGTACTCGGAGATCTTCTTAATTTTTAGCCTATCTAGCAAACATGATTCCATATTTTCAGTTTGCTGAGCATAACTTCGTCCATTGTGTGCCAAGATTACGTATTGTTGCCTGTCAATTTTTTAATATTATTATGTTGTACCTGCCTTTGTATTATATGAGGCCTCTTCTTGTCCATCAGATGGGTTAGATATGTATAATCATTAGTGCCAGAACTTAAATATTGATCGTGGACATGATTCGGCATCTGCCCCGGCCTCTACCACCGAAACAGAGTATCATGGCTGGCAGCGCTTCGCTCGCCTCTGGTCAACTTCATTCCCCGTCCTTTGCGATTTTATAACTGTTTGGATTAGTGAATGAATTGTAATTTGTCTATGGTGGCAGAATTAGTCATTTTTCCTGAATCATTCATTTTTTGTGCCACTTCCTTAGATGATGTATGATTAGTCTAACTGTTTATGTCTGATGTATTCAATAAAATATATCACTAATGTCTTATTTCACTTCCACGGAAAGTCATCACTCCTAACCCGGCAAAACTAAGTTTATGACAGGAAAATTATTTGTTTGTTGCACGCTTTCCCGCAATAACACTTCAACAGACTGCAAATAATGGCAGCAATAATAGCCCTAAACCTAAACAGATCAAATGGATTTCACTGCACTGTGGATTTCACTGTAAAGTTTTTGATGAAGCACAAGAACTTTACTCCTTTTTCATTTACTGCTTCAATTCAGCCTTTCCTGCAGCCATCCAATGAGCTTCTCGTCCACTTAGCTGCTTCATCTTCATTCCCTGAAAATGTTCGGCGATGAGCGACACCCGTCGCCTGATTTTACAAACCTCTCATTTGGAGAAATTTTATGTCGAGTTTACCATATTGATTTACCAGTTATTGGACAGCTCGAGAAATGGATATCCAAATAAGTTTGGAAAACTAATGTTTATACATAGTTAATAAAAGACATGACAAATTTACATTTTATTAACTACCGTTGGGTTAATTTAGGCGTTGGTCGTGCGTGGCCTGGGGTACAGACAAATCGGGCAGTTTGCGTGGCCTGGGGCGTAGACAAAACGGACGGTCTACGTGGCCCTCGGGCGCAGATAAGTCGGGCAGTTCGCAATTACACTTCCTCACTCCTCGGGTCTGATCGACGAATATTCACTCCCTGTAACCGATACATATTATTGCCATCGCTATAGCGTTTTTCATCCTCCTTATAAATGGTCAGGTGTACTTGAAAAAAACTTGCGTCTTTTTGATCATGGCTTGCAGTTGTTTGAATTTTTCCCTTGGGAGCGTTTCACCGAAAGCTCCTAAAATATACTTTAGGTCACAGGCGGGTTTCTGTGCTATAGCAATGGGAGATAGGGGATTCTCGACGAACACCGCCACTGTCAAGGAAGTAAATCGTCCTTGGCAGCGACGTAAGAGTTCAAAAATTTCCTTTTCGTACGATAATGAATGAAGTAAGAACCGGGCTTCTTCATTTGTATCAAACTCACAGAGAAGAGATACTAAAATATCCTCACTACTGCGCTGTGTGCTGGGAGCACTTCCAGCGTTATCATTTTCACTGCTTTCTTGGGAGTCTTCGACGAATTTTCCTTCGATGTAAATAGGTGTAGGAGCGATATCATGACCCCATACAAGCACACACGTCTCGATGATTTCTATCATCGGGCACATGCGGATGATGTCCCCAAGTAACTTCGCTCTAATGGTGGCGTCGGGCATCCTGAGTTCCACCAGATTTGGGCAATATCTCAGTACCCTCTTCGCCATGCGTCCCAGGGGCGCCACCCCCATATTTGTACCCAAGTCAATTATTTGTACCCAAGTCAATTATTGAGAGACCAGGATACAGCAACTAGTAACAGGATCTGGTAACTAGTAACAGGATCTGGTAACTAGTCACAGGATCTGGTAACTAGTAACAGGATCTGGTAACTTAGTAACAGGATCTCTCAGGATCTGGTAACTAGTAACAAGATCTGGTAACCAGTAACAGGATCTGGTAACTAGTAACCAAGATCCGGTAACTAGTAACCAGGATCTGGTAACTAGTAACCAGGATCCGGTAACTAGTAACCAATATCCGCTAACTAGTAACCAAGATCCAGTAACTAGTAACCGAGATCCGGTAACTAGTAACAGGATCTGGTAACTAGTAACCGGGATCTGGTAACTAGTAACCGGGTTCTGGTAACTAGTAACAGGATCTGGTAGCTAGGAACCAATATCCGGCGACTGGCAATCAAGATTCGGAAACTAGTAATAATAGGATCCGGTAACTAGTAACCAGGATCCGGTGACTATCATACACCGGTTACTAGTGACCAGATCGTTGGATCACCAGCAAGAAGTGGGCCACTACCAATTGGATGGTCTGGTTCTACCTTCAAAAAGTAATAGAGAAATTGTTTAAACTTGAGTGAAAACAAGGATTTCTTATCCTTAGTTAACTTAAATTATTCACCATGAATAAGGATGAGAAAACTCCAAGAAAAGTCGAGTTTTCTTCATCATAAACAAGTTGCGAAGACCGGCTTCATAATCAGTTGAAAAATTTATAGAACAAAGTAAAAATCCCTAGGAAAGGACAAATTTACAGGAAGGGAATTACAACTTAAGGAAAGATAAAACACTTCAGGAACGTAAAACTAATCAATTAAATTAAGAGCGGACAAAAACTTTAGGAGTCGGTAAGGCAAGGTTTCCATACAGAAATGTGCAGGGATTTCAAAATTAGCCACTGATTTTGGAAGTGCAAAAAATATGCAACTTTTTCGAAAAAAATAAGGAATCATTTGGTGCTTTTTTTATTTTACGAGCAAGGGGCTGATAACATGAGTGTAATTATGGTTCATCAAGTAATTCATTTGTACTCATGACGTTCAAATAACGTCGATTATGCGTTGATATGTTGAAATAACGTTGATTAAGAGTTGATTTCGTTTAATAAACGCTGATTAGGTATTGATGTTGAAACGACGTTACAATCAACGTTAATTCAAAGTCAAATAATTGGTAGGTCAAGTTATTCATTTATACTCACTTTGTTCTCCATGTTTTAGGCAATAACAAACTCAGTTCACCAGCGGGCAGACGAGAGGACGCGACACCGAATGGGTCAGGAACAAACTGAACTGCAGGCCGCCGAGGCTCTACAAGAAAATTACAACTCGGGTCATAGGCCTAAAATCGGTTCATACTAGGCCTATGGCATGGATCGTTCATACAAAACGTTTGATAGCTCCACGTGTCATTTTAAAATGGTACAACTATACGCTGACAACTTTCAGAACCACGTGTACGGTGGAACACGGCATTCAAACTTGAACTTTGAGAACCACGTGAACGGCGGAACACGTCATTCAAATTTGAACTCTGAGAACCACGTGCACGGCGGAACACGTCATCCAAACTTCGAACTTTGGAACCACTTGCACGGCGGAACACGTCATCCAAACTTCGAACTTTGAGAACCACGTGCGCGGCGGAACACGTCATCCAAACTTCGAACTTTGAGAACCACGTGTCCGGTGGAACACGTCATTCATTTTCAAATTAATTTTGGCTCATGAGCTGCCTCAAAATTTGTCTGTGATGAATATTAGATATCAGACGAATGCTAAATCAATATCATTCCTTATTTTTGCAAAATTAATTGCATTATTATAAATCACTATCATTGATGCTACAGCGTAGTACGGACAAGATTGCCTTTTACTCGTTTACCTCTATTCAACATTCAACACTATTCTTTATTATTACAGAAATTTTACATCCAATAATGTATTAATATTCAGCATAACTAACCTTATGCATTTCAGATCTCGTTTGAAACGAAACATTATCACACATTTTATTTACAATTTGATAAACTATTATAGGAGACGACATGAAATAAAGCTCAATTAATCTTATTCACAGTTCTTACCCCAACTTCTGTGCTCTAAAGTTATTCAAGTAAAGGCGACCACGTGCGAGGATCTGGCCAGCCTGACGGCGTCGAAATGGGTGGATAGCTAGAGGTCAGCATAGCCCAAGTTCACAGTGCGATTCGTATACCTTAACGCAGAGTAACACAGCCGGGAATCTTCACGGCTTTCGACACATAGCGCCCACCACAACAGCGCAGTTCAGTCACAGGCCGGAGTGCATACAGACCGGAGCACAACTGGCCGGAGCGCAACAGGCCCTACCGCAACAGCTACTCCTGACCTAACCTAACCCAACCTGCGCCGCCTGTTGCGGTAGGGCCTGTTGCGCTTCGGCCAGTTGGGCTCCGGCGCTGTGGAACAGTGGCTGTGTTGTGCAAAGCGGATTTACTGTTAGCCGAAGTTACCCACAGCTCATTGGTCTAAGGCTATGTGAAGATATTGCATGCTGATGGATGGCGTTGGGCCCAGGGCCTGTTTACGAGTCAATTTTGTTACCCACGGCTGCGCTCCCGTGGAAATGTTAGCAGTCACAAAACTCGCGATTGTTATTTAACTCAAACTAATCCGCAAGTTCGATCTTAGAAATTCTATTTCATTTTTAAAGTAGCCACTATTCATGCATGCGAGATACTATTATTACATTGAGATCTAAACTGAAGATATCATAATTTTTAATTAATGTGAGGATGAAATAATACATTCTGAAACATTCAGTACAACGTCACTCAAACATGTGACTTGGAGAACCACGTGGTAGATATAATACTTAATTCAAGAGTAACTATATATATTTGTTTGTATTCATGACAAGGTTTTTGGTTCATCGCTTCAGAAATTGAGGCGTGCTTAAGTTCGTTTCTTTTTATGTTTATGAAACGAACTTGAGAGGAGAATTCGAAGAACGACAGAGTTCTGTCTGATACCTATCGTGACAGCACGTGGATATTTTGAAAAAGAATCTTTTGAATTTAAATACGATACGAATGGACGTACAACACTATGGAAATGAACGTTAACTACGGCTTAAATTAAGCCTATAGAATGGACATAAACTACGGCTTGAATAAACGTAAACTACGGCTTGAAAAAGTGAAATAGGCTTGAATGGACGTAAACTACGGCTTAAAGGATCGTAAACTACGGCTTTAATGATCTTAAACGACGGCTTGGATGGACATAAATTAACTATAAAAACTACGGCCTTGTAATTTATTGTAAACTACAGCTTGGCCTACATTCGTGTAAAGCAAGTAGCTATGAGCCTGATGCAGTAGATCATGAGCCTGATTGAATTCACGACAGTGATAGACAATTATAATCGGTTTCAGAATCAAAGTTCAATTCTCTAATTATTGTATTGTATACTGATATATATTTTGTATTAACTGTGTCTTTACTATGTTTATTATGTATTCTGTAGGCGCACTGTATTTACTTGATCTGCACAACACCTATTGTGTTCCTGAATTTGTATTTTATATGATTCATTGTGAATTTGATCCTAAAATCTAGCTTCGTTTTTCCTCCACCCATCCTCACTCTTCACCCCTCTCTCCCCATCATCCCCCCTCCCGATGAATGTAATGCATTCCTACATCGCGGAAGCTCAAAACTTTGAGACGAATCCATGCCGTCCGCACGAGAAAGTGATCCGCGGTGACAGTACTCAGCCGTGACTGCACTGCACCATCCAAAACTGTGCCGTGACTGTACGGTGCCGTGACTGTACTAAGCCATTCCATACTCTGACGTGACTGTACTGGGTCATTCTATTCTATACCGTGACTATGCTAAGCCGTAACTTTACCTATGCCGTGACTGTGCCGTGAGAGGTAACGCTTTTGATAAACTTGACCACGAAGTTCTCTTCAGAAAGCTGAGGCAGCTCTTGGTATAAGGAGAGTTGTTGACGCAGATACAAAACTTTTTGCATAACATTTCTTAGATGTCATGTTTGAAGACTTAAAATCAAACGAGACGAGGACGTTTGGAAGTGCAGTACAAAGTTCTGCACATATATTAATTCTCTACCTCATCCACCGCGCAGACACTCATGTGCGACAAAGCCATGCATTTACATCGAAATTTACATCAGCTGACGACGCAAGAGTGCTGTCGGCTGGACGACCTGAAGTGACGACTGCGAGAGTTTGACGGAAAGCTTGCCCTAAATATACGACAGTGCTGAAGTGAATACTATGCATTCAACGGTACCAAGCAAGAATTATTAAAATACAGAGTTGTTAAATATGTTGGGATGAATCAATGCTACCCGGGTATCGGACGATACAGTAATTGAAATGTAAGTAGTTCGGATCTTTTGAATTACGATCAGTAAGGTCGGGTTAACACAATACTGCTGGGCACGTGCCAGGCATATGCCAGTCACGGTCCAGTCCTATATTCTTTAATGCATTTCTATAGAAACATTAACACCAGCCATGCAAGGCATCCGCCAGGCCCATGGTGTGAATGCTTCTATGGAAATACAGTAATGTATATATGAGTAATATGACGGGACCGTGACAGGCATATACCTGGCACATGCCTAGCAGTATGGTGTGTATCAGGCCTACAAGGGTGCATGTGACTAGCGTTTCGAACAGAACGCATCAAGAATCAACGAGATGCGGGAGCTGAGATATCTGAAACTACTTACTACTGCATGGAGTGGAAAAGTTAAAGCATTGTCGTCCAGTACACGCGAAAGTTGAAAACGAAACAGGCCCCGAACTTCGAGAACAAGGCCTTCATGAATGTGACCTATAACGTTGAGAGAATTGGAGACTGTGCAGCGTACCCACAATCAACGGCAGAGCAGCGGTCAGTCTCTGCGGCAGTGAAACTTTGCTGAGGCGCGACGAAGGTTCTTCAGTGCCTTGATGACGCCAAATCTGAGAGGATGCAAATTTTAGTTTGCTTTTGAAAGTAAACTAAAATTTAATATAAATAAAAATTTTATATAAATAAAAATTTAATATAAATAAAAATTTAATATAAATAAAAAAGACGATTGGATGCGTTAGTTAGAACGATCCCTGACTATCCATCGATGATCCCTGATCACTTCTCTGTGCAGAGCAGGAAGTACAGTAAAGCATATTGCTTGCTTGCACACGCGCAACTGAAGGCAGACTCGCGGTAGTTACGCTTGACTTCTCTTCGATACTTCGATGCTTCATTGTGACTGTGGTGTGACTGTGATGTGACTGTGATGTGACTGTGATGTGACTGTGATGTGACTGTGATGTGACTGTGATGTGACTGTGGTGTGACTGTGGTGTGACTGTGGTGTGACTGTGATGTGACTGTGATGTGACTGTGATGTGACTGTGGTGTGACTGTGATGTGA